TGTTTGGATACGGAATTATCGAAACAAAAATATCTTTTGCGCGAGTTTGCCGGAACTTTTTTATCGTTAATCTTCACTGGACTCGGCTCGATTGATAATTAAATTAAATTAAAAATTAGTAAATATTCTTCGGACGTTCTAAAATAAAGTTGAACAGCGTTTTTCTGAAAAATATCACTACCAACAACTCTGGCACATTTTTGGAGCAAAGCGCTCGAGATAAAGGAAGTCTTATTTCGAGCGGAAAAGATTACGCGTCCTTGTGAAAGCGTTCGATTTTATTCATTTTATGTTGCTAAGTATAAAAATGAGCAAAAAATGTTTTAATCGTAATGGTACACACGCTAAGCACGTTTTTACTACAAATAACAATTGCCAACGTCGACAAAAACATAGCATCTTCGGTGTAATCATGCTAAAAACACTGGGCTCCGCAGCAGAGCCTTCGGATTTACGGAACAAACGACGGATGTCTCCATAGCGGAGCCAACGGAGCGCTAAGGGTTAATTTTGTAAGCGAGAATCTTGACGAGTAATATTTATCGAATTTTATAAGGAATATTTAATATTGCTCGAGCAGAGTAATGAATATTAATCCGTGATTAGTAGTTGTACACGAAAGTTTCCTTGTACGAAATAAGAATGTTCTGCACGGCTCGAAGCGAACAGAAAATAAATAGGAAATTCTTTAATTTCTTTTTTTTCTAATAACGTCGACGTAACAGCATTCATTAATTCTTTTCGCGATTTTAATATTTCCCGTTCCGGCTGCTAATTTTTGTTCTAAACGCATAACATCCGCGGATTAGTAATTACCACCACTGTCTACGACTTAAATGGGATTCACTTAATCCACGCTGATAACTTGCTGGTTATCTCCGCATGGTATTGCTCGCCGGCAAAAACGGCTGCCAGAAAACGACAGAACGTTTGCAACGATTTGATATAGTTAGAAACGATCGTGGCAAGCCGTTTGATAGATCGACTCGTCCGATAAGTTATTTTCACCGAGGAAAAGTTGTTCGACGTTCGTAACCCTTTGCATTAGAGCCAGCGATCGCTAGAAGTGACCGGTTTGCCTCATAAAATATCCTATAAAAATGAAAAGGATGCGTTCGCCGAGATTTTATACGATTCTTATTATACGAGCATGAATACATGTTTAATAACTTCTCGTAAAGGTATTATTTTGTAATGATAAGGCACGTTATTATAGCTTGAGAAAAATCACGGTGCTTCTCGCGATTTAAGCGCGCGGAACCAGTAATTCCATGGGAAAATTTATTTCTTAATTTACCCTCGAATTCGCGAGCCTCTTTCGCGATAAACAAGGAAGTCGTCGATTCTCGCGTCTCCGAAATAAACGATAACCGGACCGCGTTGTTTCATTCTTAACATAAAAAGATTCTTAACGGATGAAGTTAATTTCTGTGCGATCGCTTTTGCGATTTCTATTGCTGCAATTGCTTTTGTCATTTCTATCGGAATTTCTTCGAACTCCTCCAAGAAATGACAATTATACGTAAAAGTCAGTCCGGCGTTCGATCGGGTTCGTTGAAATTTGTTCATCGATTTATTTCTCCTCGTTAGGTGTCGGTCGCCTCTGGATTCGACTACGAAACAGCCCCGTACTACGAAGCCTGGATAGAGGTTCGAGATTCGGACACGCCGGAATTGAGAAGCGTTGTCCAACTATTGGTGAACGTGACCGATGCGAACGACAACGCGCCGATCATGGAAGCGTCGATCTACAACGCGACGGTGCCCGAGGACGAGTATCCGCCATTGTTCGTCGGCAAAGTGTCCGCGAAGGACCGCGATTCCGGAGAAAACGGCCAAATGTCTTACTTCCTGGTGAACGATTTCTCGGAGACGTTCATCATCGACTCCGGCTCCGGAGAAATTAGCACGAACGCGAAATTGGATCGCGAAGAGGTAAGCTCTAACAACTCGAAATTAGTGCATCAACTCTTTCATAGGCACTGGGAATTAACCCTTCGCACTCGAAGCCATTTTAACTATAAATCCAAGATAATTTTTCTGACTTATATAGTATTCCCATTTTATATGACGAAATGCATTTTATGCGTATGAAATTGAGTCTTGTGACTCATGCAACAAGTTACACTTTTAACAATTTTTGAAATCATCAACCCTTTCATAGGCGCTGGGGATTAACCCTTCGCACTCGAAGCCATTTTAACTATAAATCTAAGATAATTTTTCTGACTTATATAGTATTCCCATTTCATATGACAAAATGCATTTTATGCGTATGAAATTGAGTCTTGCGACTCATGCAACAGGTTACACTTCTAACGATTTTTGAAATCATCAACCCTTTCATAGGCACTACGAATTAACCCTTCGCACTCGAAGCCATTTTAACTATAAATCTAAGACAATTTTTTTCAGATTTATATAGAATTTCCATTTTATATGACAAAATGCATTTTATGCGTATGAAATTGAGTCTTGCGACTCATGCAACAGGTTACACTTTTAACAATTTTCCAAATCTAAATTTTAATAACAATGATTTTGGAACCGTGATGTGACAATTTTAACGGTGCCTCAAAGTCGCCATTCGAGTGCAAAGGGTTAAGTTTCTCGCTCACTTTTAGCGCGCGTATGGACGTCAGGCTCGAATATTCCCACCGTCGAAACCGCCATCTTGAACATTCGTATTGTGCGCATGAAAGGGTTGAATCCGTTGGAATTAGAACGTAACGTTTAACGTCGTCTTTCAGATCGCCTCCTACGAGTTGATAGTGGAAGCCAGAGACCACGGGCAACCCTCGTTAACGGGCACGGCTACCGTTTTGGTCACCGTGTTGGACAAAAACGACAACCCGCCGCATTTTACCAGACTGTTCAGCGTGAACGTGACGGAGAACGCGGAGATCGGCACTTTCGTCATCAGGATAACCAGCAGCGATCCTGACATCGGTCAAAACGCCAACGTCACTTACACATTCACCGACAATCCCGGGATGAAGTTCGCTATGGACGCTCTGAGCGGCAACGTGACGGTGGATGGACACTTGGACAGGGAGGAGCAAGACGAATATCTGTTGAAGGTAGATCATTAATCATCCTCTAGATCCCTTGTTGCTTAGTCTTGCTAGACAGGCCCTTCGAGATTGTCTTCCTTTATGGACGTGTGAGTCATTGAAAGTGATTCGATAGTGTAACCAGGCGCAAACAAATCGTGGTCTTTAGTCTTCGTTCTTTGTTCAGTTGGGACAGTCGGAAAATTGATCCTCGGTTAGAATAATTAAAGCGATCAATTTAAAAGTCTCCCTTGAATCGCTTAGTTTATGTCTTGTGCGTTCTATAGTTCAAATCTCGTTGAACAAACCCTTCGAGATTTTCTTCTTTTAAGAACGTACAAGTCATTGAATGTGATTCGATGGTGCAACCAAGTTCAAACAGACCTTTAAGTCTTTGGACTCTGATCCTTGTTCAGTTGGGACAGTCGGAAAATTGATCCTCGGTTAGAATGATTAAAGTGACCAATTTAAAAGTCTCCCTTGAATCGCTTAGTTTATGTCTTGTGCGTTCTATAGTTCAAATCTCGTTGAACAAACCCTTCGAGATTTTCTTCTTTTAAGAACGTACAAGTCATTGAATGTGATTCGATGGTGCAACCAAGTTCAAACAGACCTTTAAGTCTTTGGACTTTGATCTTTGTTCAGTTGGGACAGTCAGAAAATTGATCCTCAATTAGAATAATTAAAGTGATCGATTAAAAAGTCTCCCTTGAATCGCTTAGTTTATGTCTTGTGCATTCTATAGTTTAAATCTCGTTGAACAAACCCTTCGAGATTTTCTTCTTTTAAGAACGTACAAGTCATTGAATGTGATTCGATGGTGCAACCAAGTCCAAACAGACCTTTAAGTCTTTGGACTTTGATCTTTGTTCAGTTGGGACAGTCAGAAAATTGATCCTCAATTAGAATAATTAAAGTGATCGATTAAAAAGTCTCCCTTGAATCGCTTAATTTATGTCTTGTGCATTCTATAGTTTATACCTCGTTGAACAAGTCCTTCAAGATTCTCTCCTTTTAAGAACATTAAATATGATTCAATGGTGTAACCACAGGTCCAAACAGATCTCCAGGTCTTTAGATAACAACCTTCGTTCAGAAGGGATAATCTGAAAACTGATCCTCGATTAGAAAAATTGAAATGATCAATTAAAAATCACTTGTTCCGCTTGGTTCTTGTCTTATGCGTCCTAAAGTCTAGTCGAATCTGAAGCTAGGATATTCATAAAAGAAAAATGAATGCACAGTTCAAGCGTACTGGTAACAAAGACGCTTCAAATGAACTTCCACCAATTAAGATTCGGTACTAATTGATGATCCCCGCAGCTAGTAGCAGCGGACGGTGCCTGGTTGAGCGCGACAGCCCTCTCGATCACGATCCAAGATCAAAACGACAACGCGCCGGAGTTCGACTCCGGATCCTACCACTTCCATTTCCCGGAGCTGCAGCCACCTGTTGCGCACGTCGGCCAGGTGACAGCGATCGATCGCGACAAGCAGGGTCCGAACTCGGTGATCTCGTACAGCCTGCTGCAGCCGTCGGACTTGTTCATGGTGGACCCGGCGACGGGCGACGTTTTCAGCAAGAAGACGTTGCGGTACAAGCACACGCATCGACCGTCGTCCCCGGAGAACCTGTACTCGCTGACGGTTGTGGCGACCGACAACGGCAAACCGCCGATGTCTTCGAGGACGGTGGTACACGTGAGCATCGTCGATTCGAACAACAATGCGCCCAGGTTCGAGCAACGATCCTACCTGTACCCGGTTCCCGAAAACTACGGCATCGGCAAGCGAGTGATCCAGCTGGTAGCCAAAGACGACGCGGACTATGGCGTGAACGCCGAGATCAGCTATTCCCTGGTCAACATGAACACCACCGAGTACTTCTTCATCGATCAGACAACCGGTTGGGTCTACGTACGGAACAGTTTGGCCAATGTCCCTGTCGGCACGACCTACTCGCTGAAGGCTCGCGCGTTCGACAGAGGCGTGCCGCCTCAGAAGGACGAGGTTTCGTTGACCTTGGTGATATCCGGGGAGAACAAGCACGCTCCCACGTTCGCGGCCGCCAGGTACCAGGTCAGGGTGCCCGAGAACGAACCCGTGAACACCACGATCCTCACTGTCAGCGCAACCGACGGCGACGACGGGCCGAACGGCATGATCCGGTACAAGATATCCGCGGGTAACGAGCGGAACGAGTTCTTCGTACATTCCATCACCGGCGCGGTGACTATTCTGGAGCCTCTGGATTACGATCTGGTGCAAGAGTACAGGCTGAACATCACCGCCACGGATTTGGGATTCGAACCGAAGCTGGCCGTCGCTACGCTGATCGTGAACGTGTCCGACATCAATGATAACCCGCCGACGTTCAATCAGAGCGTCTACGAAGCTTACTTGCCGGAGAACTCTCCGCCTAACAGCTTCGTGTACAAGGTAAGCGTAAACGTCTGAGCAACGATCCTCTATCCGTCGATGAGCTTCGTCGTTTTCCTATGTTACGAGCCGAGGGCCAGGCAGCTTTGCGTGGCCGGAGGTTACATGCAATTGGGATTTTTCTAAGGGAGATGCGTAGACCAGCCGATGCTTATTTCGGCACGGGTGGCTATCTTTAAGGTAAGGGTAGGATTTGGGGAAATTGGAGTTAGGCTACCTCGTAACTTTTTGCAAGAAAAGAATTAAAGATATACCTCGAGCGGTAAAGATATATCTTCGTGGGTTGTATCAACTACTGCTTCGAAATAGGAAATGGAAATAATTGAATTTGTAACCAAAGAAACTGGTAAAAGCTAGTTCATCTATCGTGCTCTCAGCTTTTCGCACTGAATCGGCAGGGGCTTCTGATCTGGTATCTACTACCTCTAGATTGTTTGTTCGAAGGAGAATTAAGGCTCGATCTCGCTAGAGTTTCCACGTCAACGAATGATTCGAAACTAGCCCGATTTCTGGTCGCGTTTGGGCCCTTTATATAGGGTGTCCCAAAAATGTCTCGTAATCCGAAAGTGGCGGGTTCCTCGGGTCATTTGAAGCAACTTCTTCCTTTACAAAAATGTTCTCCGAGGCACCGTTAACGAGTTATTAACGAAAAAGTGTGATCAATGAGAGGCGAGCTCAGCTAGCGCGAGGCGACCGAGCCAATGAGCGGAACCTGTCTCTTATACACATCTAGATGTGTATAAGAGACAGGTTCCGCTCATTGGCTCGGTCGCCTCGCGCTAGCTGAGCTCGCCTCTCATTGATCACACTTTTTCGTTAATAACTCGTTAACGGTGCCTCGGAGAACATTTTTGTAAAGAAAGAAGTTGCTTCAAATGATCCGAGGAACCCGCCATTTCCGGATTGCGAGACATTTTTGGGACACCCTGTATAGCCAGATTTTATTGACTCGCGATATACAAATGAACCCCCGGCTGGTTGGCGTCAGCCTGGCGTATGCCTTCAGAAAGGAATATAAAAAATTCGTGGGAAGATTCTCTCCGTACGTTACACCTGACACGATTCGTTCCGACTTCCAGGTGGTTGCCAAGGACATCGACTCCCCGAAGTACGCGGTGGTTCAGTACAAGATCCTAGGCGGCAGCGGCAAAGATCACTTCAGGATCCGCGAAGACACGGGCGAGATCGTGTCACTGATCAGCTTCGACTACGAGGAGGCGAACGAGTATAGTCTGGACATCGTCGCGGCGAACCCCGACTCGAATCCGCAGATGGTCGGGTTCACGACGGTTGCCGTGCACATAACAGGCGTGAACGAGTACTATCCCAAGTTCATCCAGCCGGTGTTCCACATGGACGTGTCGGAGAGCGCCGAGGTTGGGACATCGGTGGGCTTGGTGCAAGCCACCGACCAGGACACCGGCGAAGACGGCAGAGTTTATTATCTGTTCGTGGGGTCGTCGAACGACCGAGGGTTCTCCATCGGTTCCGAGACCGGCATCATCAGGGTCTCGAGGCGGCTGGACCGGGAGACGCAGAACAGAGTGGTGCTGACCGTGATGACGAAGAACGGGGGCGGGATCAGAGGCAACGACACGGACGAGGCTCAGGTGATCGTCTCGATTCAGGACGACAACGATCCGCCGGAGTTCCTGCAGACCTCCTACGATGCTACCGTGTCGGAAGGAGCGGCGCACGGCACCAGAGTGCTCACTGTCCGGGCTGTTGACAAGGACATCAAGCCGCAGAATAATCAGTTCTCGTATTCCATTATCGGAGGGAACATTGGCCAAGCGTTCAAAGTGGATCCCCAAACCGGAGACATCGAGACCGCTAAACAACTGGACCGGGAGACTATCCCAGCTTACGACCTCACCGTGGGTGCCATCGATACTGGATCGCCGCCGCAAACGGGAACCGCTGTGGTCCACATCGAGCTACTCGATATAAACGACAACGGGCCTGTCTTCGACACGCCGGAAATGGTCGGCTACGTCAACGAGAACGAACCACCTGGGACTATCGTGATGACACTCAGCGCTACCGACCCCGATTTGCCACCCAATGGAGCACCGTTCACTTATAAGATCGTCGGTGGTAGACAAAGCGACATGGTCACCTTGGATATGCATACTGGGGTGTTGAGGACCAATAGGAGCTTGGACAGGGAGGTGATGCCGCAGTTGGATCTTGTGGTAAGCGATTTTTCCTTAAATGATGTCTCAACAAGTACGCCTTCGTCGGTTCTGTTACAGTACAGTAATGTCTCCCTTATTGACGCTGAGATTGCGCACGAAAATGGACAATTTGGGAAGTGGAGATGCGATTATTCGAGCCTTGCGATTTATTTTTATAGTTATAAATTGTCAACGATTATAAAAACGAGCCGCAAGGCTCGAATAATCGTATCTCCTCTTCCCAAATTATCCAATTCAGTGGACAATTTGAGCGTCAGTAAGAGAGACATTACTGTACAGTAATGAATGAACAATTTGGGAAGAGGAGACGCAATTATTCGAGCTTTATGGTTTGTTTTTATAGTAACGAATTGTCAACGATTATAAAAATCGAGCTGCAAGGCTCGAATAATCGTACCTCCTCTTCCCAAATTGTCCATTCTTGTGCACAATCTAAGCGTCAGTAAGAGAGACATTACTGCAGCTAGAGTGCGACGATTAGAATACAAATCTACTTTCTACTTTCCAGGTCGAAGTGGAGGACTCCGGCGTCCCAAAAATGAGGAACGAGCACACGATAACCGTGATCGTCACGGATCAGAATGACAGTCCATCGTCGTCCAGATCCGTCCACGTGATCGTCCACTCCTTCAACGAGCAAATACCTCTAGGAAAGATCGCCGACGTTCATCCGATCGATCCAGACATTACCGGTTCCTATTCTTGTAAGATACTTCAAGGATCGAACCCGAAGATTCTCAGTATCCCTACCGCCTGCGATCTCCACACGAAGAAGATCACTCCAGGTTCGAACTTGCGCTCTTTTAATAGTTATCGGTACTTCAACCGATGATGGAATGAATTTTATAAGCATTCTCTTTCGTTGTAGGGGTCGGTTACTCCCTGAGCGTCTCCGGAAACGACGGTCGCAATCCGAACGTGGTGTCCAAGGTCACGGTGGAGTTCCTCGTGTTCACGAACACCACGATCGAGAACAGCGTCACCTTGCAAGTGAGCAAGCTGACTGCCCGGGACTTCCTAAGTCAGAAATACGGTGCTTTATTGAACGCGTTGCAAGAGAAAGTCGAAGTTGGCGACACGTTGAGGATCTTCAGCCTTGGCGAGAATGCGTCCGACTTGAACATCCACATAGCTGTCGAGTCGCCTCAAGGTAACGTCTTATCAGCGAACTACGAATGTTTGTGCAATTTTTAATTGGGACCCTGTTTAACCCTTTAAGCGCTATGAACCCATATGTGCGTTCTCACACAACCATTTGATTATGGTTTGAAAACCAAAGTGTGTAGCAGACTACGATGCCTTGATGGGCGCAGTTGATAAAATCGATATGATTTTGAGTTCACTTCACTGCGTTCGAAAAAGCACAAAATAATAATATTTAAATATAATAAAATAAAAAATATTTCTTCCACCTTTTAGGCCTCGCGCTGTATACAGGGTGTCCCACAATTATTTTAACAGCCGAAAATGAGGGGTGGCTGAGGTCATTTGAAGTAACTTTTTCCTTTGCGAAAATGCAATCCACGGCTTTGTTTACGAGTTATTAACGAAAAACACTGGCCAATGAGAGGTGACGGTGCGAGAGAGAGGGTCCGCGAGAGAGTCCGCACCACCAGGCTTTGACAGAAGGTCGGGACGGACTCGAGCCGAGTTCGAAGTATTGAACAAGTCACGAAGCGAGAACTATCCGGATTTTTTTTACTACATCACAGTGATATTTTTAAGAAAAACGCTTGAGAGAGAGAGAGAGAGAGAGAGAGAGAAAGTTTCCTCCGACGCATTAAAGCGCCGTTTCAGTTACGGCTGTACGCGTTCTTATCGGTCGCGACGGTCAGAGACCGGTACATAAACGTAGATCCGACTGAATCGCGTTTTTGAAATGACAATTTTTACGTAGCATATATTTACGACTTATAAACTAACACACACGCTCGCCAGCTAGCTAGCACACACCTACACACTCACTCGTTCGTATATGTCAAGTACTATTGCGGACCAAGTGGATCAAAGAAGTCCCCTGAGGGACCTCCGATCGGAGGAATTACAATTTGTACAATTTTCGAACGAAACATTATTCAGAGCCCCGACTTATAGTATAATTTCACATACTTTTACAATAAATACTTTGTTACAATACAAAGTTTGCAGCTATTTGNGGAATTACAATTTGTACAATTTTCGAACGAAACATTATTCAGAGCCCCGACTTATAGTATAATTTCACATACTTTTACAATAAATACTTTGTTACAATACAAAGTTTGCAGCTATTTGCTCGGTATCATCCTCGATCCAGAAATTCATTG